TGATACCTGTTTCTCACAACAGAAAGCATTCTTGTAGCACAAGATGGTAATGTCACACTGCGGCATCTTCACAGATCACTGCAAGAGGAGGGTGTAAGATCACACATTGCATTACTGTCAGGATTTGTAGTGTTAAACTGGAGTCTTTATCACATGCCTGTCATTTGTCTAGTGAAAATCATGACTCTCAGTGAGATGCTGGCTCAGATGCTAAACTCTTGTCTTTTGTGATGAACTTCTTCAGGTCTTCAAAGTGTTTCCTTTTACTTAATCAACTAGCTGTCCACAGCCAACTTAAGCTTCTTCATCTTTTTATTATTATTTGCCAATTTTTATCTTAGACATACTTCAGACCATTGCTTAGATGGCATAGTCCCTGTCATTCAGATCGTTTATTCTCAAATCCGACGGATTTCAGCAAAGGCCTAAATCTTCACTGTGTGAGTCCCAGTCACGTTTTGAGCCCAGAGGGCAACTGAGTACCACGCAGACTTTCACGCGCCCCTTCCCCCCTCAGGAATGGGAATGAGAAAATAAAGTAAAGGGCTCAGAAATCCAGAAAAGTACAGGGAGGAGCGGCTTACCTATTATGGTCATGGGCAAAAGAAAAACTTGTTAGGGGAAGAAAAAAAAAAAAAGAACACCACTTTAATTCAAATGTTAACGAAGACAACACCTAACAGACAAAGTGGGACAGTGAGAAGTGCCACCACATCCAAAAACACCTAACCCCACCCCTCCCTTCTTCCTGGGATCAAGCCTGCTCCTGATCTCCCCCCATCCTGCCCCAGTGGCACAGGGACAGGGGGTGGGTCTTACAGTCAGCTCACCACTTCTTCCTTCTTGGGAGGTGGGGTGAACGCCGCACATCCCTCCCCTGCTCCATGTGGCTTCTCTCTCACTGGTGATAGTCCTCCATGAATCTTCTCTGCAGCAAGTCCTCCCCACAGGATGCAGCTGTTTCCATGTTGCTCCAGTGCAGATCACCCCCACATGCTGCAGTCCTCCCAGCGCTGAACTACAGCAGTGGGGGCAGCTTCTCCCCTGAGTCCCGGCTTCCTTTAAGTGCAGCTGCCTGCTCTGGTGTGGGCTCCTCCACAGGCTTCAGGTTGGCCTCTGCTCCACCACATGGGTGGAAGGGGTGGCCCTGCCATCTCACCACAGGATACAGGTGTCTCTGCTCCGGCACACCTCCCAACTCCTTCCTTCCACTGACCTGTGTTCATCCTTCATAACTCCTCACCACAAATCCCAACCCTCTCCCAGGTTCCCTTTCTGAAATATGTTCCCACAGAGGTGCAGCCACCATCGCTAATGGGCTCACCCCTGGCCAGAGGTGGGTCTGACTTGGAGCCAGGGAAGCTTTGAGAAGCTTCTCAAAGGGGACCACAGATGTAGCCCCCTACCCTTCTACCAAAACCCTGCCACTCAAACACAGCACAGTCCCCATCAGGAAAGAGGTGTAACAACTCCAGCCACCTGGGAGTGTGGGTAGCCCTGCGGGTGCAGTACTGAAGGTAGGAAACTCCCAGGAAAGCAGAGTCCACAGCAGAAGTGAATGCTGTGAGCCGGAGGTGTGCAAGTACCCTGCAGAGGCTGGGCGCTAGCACGGTGGGGTTGCAGTAGCCCCTACCCACTCCCGCGTCAGCACATTGTCCCCGTGCAGGGTCGTACCACTCTGAGGCGTCTCAGGGGGCGTTGCCCTTTCTCTCTGCCGGCTCTTCTCCCAGCAATGGCCCCCATGGCCCTGCCCAGCTCAGCAGGTGGTGGACCTGAGATCTGTGGGCATGCAGGAGAGGGAGGTGGGAGGATCTGGCACCTTGCTGAAGGGAGTGTCATTGGGGAGCTACAAGAGAAAGGCATTCACACCTGTCATTTGTGCTGAGGGGGCAGCTTAAGGGGGAAAAGGAGCTGCCAGGGAAGATGACACCAAACATGATTTTAAAGGAACGCAGCTGTGGGTGCCCATCCCAGGGGAAAGCCGAATGTTTGCAGAGATGGCAGACCTGGGTGCATCACACCCACCTCCGGCATGTGCAGCTCCTGCTCCAGCTGGACATGTGCCCTGAAAGAGCAACTGTGCTGAAGCTGCCTGCACTCAGGAGGAAAACAATCTGCAGAGAATAAGACACAGCTTGTAAAAGGCATGGGAGATTTCAGACATGTGAGATACAGTGGCTCTTCAAAATAATTTGCTTTGTGCTCTTGTTCCTGCCAAAGCAGGTTTGCTCTAGGTGTTGTGTGAATGAGACCTGTTAACTACTCCCACATAAGCCAGAAATATCAGTGTAGTGGAGGAATTATTATGATTGTCTCAGTTCATTTAGTACACTGTGCCCTTTGCATTGTCTGAATAATGTACAGTGCACAAAGCCCATAAACTGTTCCATCTTTGTATAGGAGTATGAAGGACTGATAGATTCCTGGAATTTAACCACTTTGTCCAGTCAAAAAGTCCATGATTCACCAAAGTAATCTCTAAGGTTTTTTTTAAGTAGTTCACTTAGGAACACACACACAAAAACCCCACAAGACTAGCTAGGAAAGATGCAGTTCCGTTAACGGTACAATGACCATCTGGTGTTCTGTTACAAATTCAAGTTGATTTTATACTCATAAATTAAGCCATTGTGTATTATTGTGGGGGTCTTTTTCCTCGCTGTGACCATGAGACTTATGTTGCTGGGGATCACTGTCTTGCAGTAATGGAATGAGGGCCTTTGGCAGCCCTTCATATATGCCCAAGGACAGTGTCAGTAATTCTGTGAAGCTCTATACCATTTACAGAAATGCAATTTGTGTATGCAAAATTATTTAAGGGTCAAACTTTTCCATTTACAATATTAATCTAGTGCTTTGTAAATGTTATTTAATCTTCATAACAGTATTTGGATGTGGTATGGTTATTTCCATTGGAATGGCCTTGCATTCTAATGCATATAGACCTGGATTATGTATACAGATCATGTTTATTAGAAAGAAAACATTTCTCACTGCAATGAGCAAAAAATGTTTTGAAATCTGTTTTCTTCTTAGGCAGTAGATGATTTTATAGTATAATTATTTCATTTCTGAACTTAGTATATTAGTCTTTTTTCCAACCACTCCTCAGCAAACTGATGAGCTGGAAGTACAAAAGGCTTCAGAGTGGAACTTCAGCAGCAGTGATAGAAGAGGCAGGAAAACAGCACAGGTTCCCAAAAGCATGAGCAAAAAAACCTCAGAAAAAGTCCCCTTACATCTTCCTACAATATTAGTACAGAATTTCTAAAAATTCTCCAGCCATTTACCCATCAAGCTAAGTCTGAAAAGACTTGTTCATTGGCCATACTCTAAATGACTCATTTGTCTTTTCCAAAGTTTCCCAGTGTGAGAACTGCGTCTTCCAGATCTTTAGATTTTTGTGGAGACAGGCAGCTCCCCAAAGATGCAAATATGCACTCACGTAGAGGGCTCCTGTGACTGCAGAGGCTGCTAATCTTAGGGGGAGCTGTCTAGACCCCATCACACCCTCCTAGAGCTCCAGCATCTTCCCATGCTTTAGCTGGAAAATTCCAGCATGCTGACCTGATGCTGACTCCTTGCTGTGAAAACACAATGGGATCTATTCTGTAGTGGACAAGTTATGCACAGAAAAACACCTGTTGACTGAAAGGAGAATAGACCCCTTTAGCCTTATCATGACAAGACTCCTTTGAATGCTTTCAGCATTTTTCAGTGAACTGTATTGAGGATGGAGAATACTTTCTCCTTTCCCCCTCTTTTGCTCCTTCCCCTGTGCAGAAATCCATAGCTGCATACCTAGCACGTCTCATCTGTATAAGGCTCTCAAAAACCACCTTCATTCTTTTCAGTCAGTTTCCTCTCTCCTTAACTTGGGTAGGGACACAGTTTTTATTTTAATGCAATTGACATTCACTCTGATGGTTCTGCCCACTCATCCCATCCAAGTCCCCTGTTGCACAGTGGCTTTGATGAAACTGATGGATGAGTTGATCTGGGATCAGCTATTTGACATAAATAGATATGCCTGATAATTGGGAGACATCATGGGTGGAGTTATTCGGAGTCAGAATCTAAAAAAATGTAGAAGTGCAGACAAAAGATGAAATTCCAGACCAGCAACACAGTGAGACCCTGTAGTTGCCAACAAGTCAAGTGACATCCATCTCACACATAACTGGCATGATAATGCTTCAGATAATTACTGATTTTGATCTATACTATTGCCTTCTATAACCTTTAGATGTTACATTATTTGGATATTATACCAGTAACACTACAGCAAACCAAGCCAGTGAGTTACAACACCAAAAATGAACAAACAAACACACAACCTGACATATTACTCTTCTCTCTAGCTCTTCCTTTCTTCCAGAAAAACCCAAATAAAGAGGCAGGTTCTGAAGATGAATGAAACTGGACTGATTTTAAAGTGCAGAGACAAGAATTGCAGGTTTGAATTCTTGCACTGGAACTACCTGAATTTCTAATCCTGGCCCCTGTAAAAGCAGACTTTTTATCTGAAGGGCGGAAACAACCATTTTAAAAAAGCTTTTAAAAAGCTTTAAAAAGGATTTGATCTAAAGCTCTCTGATGCAGATACAAATTCCCTTATTGTCTTCAGTGACTTTGGATCCAAGCTCCAAGAAAGTATTAAGTGTAGAAATTTTATTTTTTTTAATGGCAGATAGTATCCTCATAAATTTAAATAGTACTTGGACAACTCATTTAGATCACTTGTGGTAATGGATTGCTTCTTAGTCAAACAGTAATATATTAATAAGTAGTAATCAGTTTATTTGAACTCAGAGTACAATGGGAGCATAAGTTTTGTTTTAAATGTGATAGGAACTTAGATAAAATTCTGTTTTAGTTTGGGGTTTTTTAAATTTTTTTTGGTAATATTGTGTAAAAAAAGTTGTACAATGTCATCATTTAGTGTTTATTTTATTATGTGTACCTTCTACTCAGAGGGTTGGCATTATTGTTCCTAACAGTGATGGATACAAGCAGATCATGCCCTATGACCTCTACCATCCCCTTCCTCGGTATGTAAAACAGTCAACCAGATGCTGGGATTAACAAATACATTTAGTTCTTTTTTCCTCTTCTCTGGATTTCTGCTTTGCTCTCAAACTAAATTAACAGATGCTGCTTTTCTCTTGCTCTCAACTCCTGCAGGTTAACCTAGAGATGTTCAAGTGCTAACCTGTTTTTATAAATTCTGTTGATGCAGAACTGAAACAGTATTCTAGCTGAAGCAGCAATGTGGACTTATTAAGTGTACGGTCCCTTTCTTTCTCTCTTTCCCCACCCTCCACTCCAACCTCCCCTTTTCTCTCACACTGTTCCTTTTCCTTCCCTTTACTCATCTTTGAAAAGGACCATAACCTGTGGCTTTGTAATGAACCATCAGACTTTCTCTCCAGCAGTGCTTCTTGTTACGTGCTTATAAATTCTGAGATTTTGGATTTAGAGAGAATTAGTGATGTGTACTGATCCTGCAGACCCATACTAATGCCTTTCCCAGCGTCATTGGCTTTTCTAAGAAATTAGAGATTGAGGGCAAGATTAGGATCAAGGCCTGATTTATATTATTAATTATCTCACAATTAAAATGCCTTTAATGTAAGAGTTGAAATTCTCATGGAAATAATCACATGAGTAATTACTCCTAAATCTGTGAATAAGACTGGTGTTGATAAAAATGTTTGGTAGCTAAAGGATAATAGCCTTTTGGTTTTGAAATACTGCCTGGACATGCAATTGCATTGTGTTGTGTTTTCATTTTAATTAATTTATTGTGTCATGGAATATGACAGAAAGAACTCCCTAGGCAACTTGTTAGTCTCATCCTGGTGAGGAAACGACCTCCCTCAAACCATGATGAGGCCTAATGCAGAGAGCTTTCAGCATCAGTGCGCAAGCACAGTGCATTCATGTTCAACAGTCTCCCGCCAAATCATGGACCCACCCCAAAGTGTGAGTGACGAGACAAGGAGGAGAGCAGCTTACTTGCCAAGAACTGTGGCCATCATTCATGTTGACACTCTTTGCCAATGATCTGTGTCATTTGGATTAGGGTTTTGTCTTGCTAGCTAAGCGCTTATGGTTATGTACACAAAGCCACTATCAACAAATATTTGTGAGATACACTTATATAGCTTTGTCTAATTCATTTTTTCTGGAAAACAATTTTGTCTGTGCTTCATTTAAAAATACCCCACATATATACTTCCTGACCTCAGAATTAAACCCCTATTAGTAAGGAATATAGCAGCTAGACTATTAATACAGGATTTAACACTCTAGCTTTGAATAAAACAGATTTCATTTCAGTTGTGTACAAAGGGCATGTCCATTGACAAAAGGCAGAGAACAATTTTGTATCAGAAGATCATTCAGCAGTACTTAACAGTGGAGGGACAGTATTTAAGGAAAATACATCCTGAGCTGTCAGCTAGGCAGAGGCTGTTTTTACTGCTGAAGAAAATCCAAAATAAAGGGTTAAAATGCCCTGATGTATTTGGCTTTCAGTGGCACTGAAAGCAAAAAAAAAAAAAAAGATCAAAAGGCTGAGACTGTTTCTCAGGCTGTTCTGAGGTTATGGTCTCACCCTTTAACAGCCCCTTTACATCCACTCTTCCAACCACACTATTGTCCTTTAACCCCACCACCACCACTGACTGCTCAGGCTGTGACTGCTGGTTGGGATCTCTGCCCCCCTTTATCCCTCTGCTGTTTCGCTGCTGCTTCCCCTCTTCTCCCTTTCCCCAGCTCCCACATGTGCTCCTATGAACTCACGAACAGGGCTCAGGTCTTCCTCCTTCACCCTGAGAGGGAAGACACAACCACATGTCTCTTCTCCAGACCTCAGAGGCAGCAGAAACTGAACAGACCATGAGGCTGGCATGAGACAGGGCCAAGCCATGGGGGCTACAAAATGTCTTTTCTCTGAACCTGCAGAGTTCAGGAAAAACAAAAATAAAAACAAAACAAAACAAAACAACAAAAACAGCCCAACCAACTAACCAACCAACCAAACAAACAAAAACCCAACCAAACCAGAGAGGCCCTGGTTGCATTACCTTTCTGAGACTGGCACCTAATACCAGGGACAGAGGAGAGCAGCAAACACTCCAGAAGTGGAGAGCAAATCTGGGAAGGCATCTTTGCAAGATTTCCCTACTACACTCCCTCAGCCTTGAATTTTATCACAAAGAGGGAAAGGTATGGCTCAGTGGATATAGTGCTTACTTTTAATGCACCAGCAATTTCTTTCCCAATTTTTCCATCAATGTTGCATCCTTTGTACCTCAAGAGGAGCTGTGACACCTGCATTAAGAGCTGTGCAACAGAGAAACTTCACCTTTCTGTCTTCCACTCATACAAAACCTGAAGACCAAACTTGCTTGTCTAGATTTAAGCAGCTTGGTGTTGCTGCAGTTGTCTAAGGCATCTGGAAATTTGTCCCAAAGACTCCAGTGATGTCCCTGGTGCTGTTGTTTTTTATGCCTGGGAAAAGCTGACTCAAGCTGTCTTCAGCAGTTTTACCTGTTCATGAGTTTCAGTCTTAGGCCTCTTCATTTAGATTTGTGGTGGTGAGAAACCTTAGCTATATGCTGGAAAACTTGTTCAGTAGAACCACAGGTGACACATTTGAACTGAAAACATTGCTAGAATTACCCGTTCGTGACATCTATGGCTTACATTGAACACATAATGATGGATATACCATGGTGTACACATGATTCCACCACTTCTCAGTGATAAGTCGTAGAATCAATCAGTGACATTACCATTCATAAACAGCTATTAACATAAGCCATTTCACACTGAGTTTTATGACACTTTCAGCCAGTAGCCAAATATGGGTAGTGCTTAGATGTACTGGAGCTGAAGAGAAAAAGATGGATTGATATGAGGAAAAATCAGAGGTAGAAATAAGAATTTTTCATGTTGCTTAACAATCTTGGTGATCCTGTAATTATTACTTTATAAAAATAATTCCTTTGTTTTAAGACGGAGAAAAAAATCCTCACCCTTCACTTTTTTTTTCTTCTTGCCTGAAAGAGGAAACAGGCAGGGTTTTTTCCACAAAAACAATTTTTTACAGTCAAAAAATGAAAACTTATGACCAAAATCATTGTTTTAAACATTATTTCTAATGTCTTTATCAAAAGGACATTTGCCTTAGAAAAAAAAAAAAAAAAAAGAAAAAAAAAGACTTTTTAAAAATGTTTCCAGATAGATAGAACATACACAATTTTATCAGGCATGCACAGGATTATACAGGAATAGCCACACTGGCTCATGGCAACAGTCCTGGATCCTCTCTCTGACAATGGCTTGAATATAAGAGAGGAAATGCCTGACTATTTTATGTGGAAAGACATGCATACCTGTGAAACAATATGTACATTATTGTATATGCATCACTGTAAAAAAATTATTATTATCATAAGTATACTTTTTAGAACATACACATTGTTCTGAGGATTTGTCATTACATTCTAAAATGGCACCTGTAGAGAAATGATGGTTTCTCAGTTCATCTCACTGCCTCAACTGTAAGGAAACAAGGACCATGTGGTTTATCTATCAGAGGCCACATATCCTATCAATACAGTCACATCTTCTTTTTGGTAATTTCCTCCCATCTTTTTTTTTTTCTCTCAACTCAGTTGTTTCCCTGCAAAGAAACACTGCTATTTCCCTGTATGTTCTTGCAAAAGGAGCATCAGCTTCAGAGCACACTGAGCTTCTAGTGATTTGTGACAAAGATTCTTCAAACCATGACAAAATGAGAAGATATTATAATCCCATCAATTAAATAAAAGGAATTAAGTTAAAAATATTTAGAATTTCTGTAGTAGTAGTCACTGGGTTAGTGGGAGAGTCGCAGAGTATTACTAATCTGTGACTTAAAGACAACAGCCATAAGAGTGCTTTACTGTTATGGACATTTATGAAAAAATATATATGATTAATTTTTACTGACATTAATCAGAAAAATAACCGTCCTGCAGATATGCATCTGAGGGAGTGGAGGTGAAGTTGGAGGCAGCAGGGGTTCCTTTTCCTGATGATTCTCTGTTTTGGGTTTTTTCTTTACCCAGATGGGAAAGTACGCCCTGGACTGCCTGTTCCTCATCCTGTGGAGGAGGCATTCAAAGCCGCAGCATCTCATGTGTAGAAGAAGACATTCAGGGGCATATCAGCCCGGTGGAAGAATGGAAATGCATGTATACTCCAAAGATGCCTATTGTCCAGCCTTGCAATATATTTGACTGCCCAAAGTGGCTTGCTCAGGAATGGTCTCCGGTAATCAGCTTAGCTTTGTTGGTTTTGTATTTATTACACTAGGAATATACCTTAAATTATAGTTTAGTGAGTTTGTGACAGTAGGAACATTCACTACTTTCTTTCTTTATTACCATGACCTTTGTTTTAAATCACGCAATTTGTCTAACTGCAAAGTAAATACTCAGGAATAATGTATTAATAAGATTAACGTGATTAAGGAGAATGATGGAAAAATAAATCAGATCTGTAATGTTAATTAGTGACCTTCTACTAATAATAGACTGGGGACATAAATGAAATGCACAAAACAAACCCAGTAAGCATGTAATAGTATATCTTTATTGTAGCTTTTCAGCCATAAATTAAATACCATGAATTGCTGAGAAATTTCTAGAAATAAGTAAAGCCATCAGTGACTCTGCTCTTTGATTCTTGTAGTTGTCTGTTCCTGATGCACCTCTCCTTAACTATGAAAGTAAATGTCTTCAAAATGTCTTTCTACAAACAAAGAGAAGTACTTTGATTTTGTACATACAGACTTAATCTTGAATGTAGTTTCTCACCACCCCAGTTTCTCAAGAAGTAAAATGGGGTTTAGAAGCTAAGCTAGCTCACCCCCAGGTGAGGTGTTCTTGACTGATTGAAAAGTATTTAGTGATTTCCAGATGAAAGCTGATATCCAAGAGCAAAGTAATATTGGTAGTATCCATAGCCCTTCCCACTGCTTAGTAGTTTTGATCCTCTCCTATGCAACCACTTCTGAAACAAACTGTAGGTGGGGAAAAATTGATGTACCTTACCAAAAATAAATGAAAAAAGACGTAAGAAATTGTCTGAGGCAAGAAAGCACAGATAGTTTCCCATTCTGTTTGGTGCCATGTTCCAAATTAGCTGAATGTCACCCCTGTTAACCCATAAGCCCCAGTACTTTGTCCAAGCAAAGCAGAGTGGCTTCAGATGAAACTGACAGGGTGTTACTGAACATATCCAATATGGGACAGATGGCCAAAAGCCAAGTATCCAGCACTGAGAGAGGGACACTGCAAGAGAAATCCAGCAAACCAAGTGAATGTGCAGAGTAAAAAGGCAAAAATTTCTGTCAATTTTATACCTTATCCGTAACTACTAAATATTATGAATAACTTATGTTCAGGGTTGGGTGTTTCTGTATCATGTTTTGTTCTCTGATGTACACGTAACTTCTATGGCATATTCCACTTTTACTTATCACTCATGCAACGTATCACATGCGTGTTTTTTTTCTTTTTTTTTTTTTCCCCCAGTGCACTGTGACCTGTGGACAAGGACTCAGATACCGTGTGGTCCTTTGTATTGATCACAGGGGTATGCATACAGGAGGCTGTAGTCCTAAAACAAAGCCACACATAAAAGAAGAATGCATCATGCCCACTCCTTGCTACAAACCCAAAGGTAATGAGGCAGAAGGTTCTCATAAATTTTTCAGAGCTCTTCCATGTTGAGCAGTTTTATTTTGTTGCTGGTAGCACTGTTTCCACCTGCACTGAGTTGTGAACTGAGTTGCTCCTTCGAGACCATTCTTATTCCAGTCTTCCTGATAGCAGCTTGGTGTGAATGCTGGCCTCTTCCTCTTTCTAGCAATCTCTGGCATTTTCACTGTTAATTTGTGGTCCAGCAGACCAAGCAATATAAATGTAAATTTGCCCATAGTGTAAGCAGGTTTGACCTCACTGATTGTGTCCGTGCTAAATCTGCCCTGTATTTTAAAAGGAATTAAATATATAAATAACATTTATGGTAGATAAAAGTAGCCGTAATTTTAAAGTGCCTGTTCATAACTCAGAGCTTGAAATAGGGCAAAAGCAAGCACTATATATTCCAAAATGAAGTTCGTCTTACTAGCAAGGCTGCAAAATTTGGCAGACTGTTAGACTTGAAGCATCTTATAGCAAGGAGTACTCACAATTTGTGTAGAAATGTTTCTTGACTTGGGCCTCAGACAGAACGTAATACTGGGGTAAGTTCCCCACATTTTGTTAAAAGAAGGAGAAAATATTTCTGCATCTGTTTGGAAGTTCTTATGGGTGGGAATGTTAGAAAAAGTCCTGGAGAAAGGGTTGGGTTAATATGCACTGTCCAGGTAGAGCAGACACAGGTATTTGACTGTTTTCATGGGTATATGAGTGTGCATGTGTTTGTATGTGTATACAGCTCTATCGATACAACCTCTGTGTCTGTATGCTGACTAACTAATGGAAACATCTGGGCTACAGCAATGCAGGTGATTTTAATTTCCCTAAGCTGGAGACTTAAACTCCACCATAAGAAGAAATCAATTCCTTTTGAAAAATTAATTGCTATCCTGATACATATTAAGAACACTTATTATGAAGCCCTGTGAAATAAGAGTGACCCATGACATGATGATCCAAGATGGAACGGTGAAATTTGGAATTTTAATTTCTGCATTCAGTAATGATGATGGGTGCACTTGCCAAGTTTCAAGATTCCAGTTTATCTGGACCATGAGAATTCACTGTGCCTGCCAGCCACCAAAGTGGCAAAACGCAGATGCAGGACCTCTGGGGAGCAATGGATATGTTTGCACTGTATTTTGCTGGCTGTCATGAGCTTACTCCATCTGCCTTCCAAGATGAAAAAAAAAAATAAAAGGCCCTGTTACTGTGTTAGCATGACCCTGAGCCTCGTACAGATGTTCAGGGGGTTTGGGCTCAGTCAGTCAGCTGCTTTTATGGGCCCTTATATGTTTATGGTGTTCAGAGCATAGATAAAGCAAGATGCTGTCTGCCTGCAGCATACGGTGTAAGCAAAATGCAGTAAGACACCAAAAAATCAGGTGTTGCAAACAACGCACCAACTGGCTGCTGCCTAGGTAACCTGAGAAGGGTGCAAGACCAGCTAGGAAATCTTTGCCTGCCTTCATCTGTCAGAAAGTCTCCTCAGGCAGGACTTGTCTGGAAAGAAAGTAAATTGCTGTTTGCTGGAAGCCCACCTTTGCAACAGAGTGGCATCTTTAGCCTAGATGAACTCTTATGCCTGCTCTTTGCAGTACATATGTGATTAATTTCTTATTCTAGGCAGTTATTTCTTTCTTCTATTTTTTCCCATGGGATGGAAAGCCTTATGCAAAGTGTACTGTTTTGCTTGGGTTTCATTTTACTCCTCATGTTGGTTCTGCAATGATCTCACAGTTCTCCCTCCATAATGCAAGTGGTAATGTTTGAAGACCCATGTACCTGAAGGCTGAGTCATGCTTTCGATATTCAGAGGTCTCACCCGATCCAAATTACTCTATGTTCTGGAAGTGTGCCCTTTTTATTTCACAAATCTAGAGTTAAAAACGTAGAGCAGCAGGGGTAGCAAAGTACCTCTCCTCTATTATATGTTTTAATCTTAGCCTGCTTTTTCCTTCTGGAGCTAGATTAACATCAAGAAAAAAAAAATCTTCCTAGTTGACTGAAGCAGCAAGACAAGAAACGTGGAATTCCCTCTTCCTTTAACACACTGTGCTAAGTGGAAATTGAATGCAAATAGTTCATTTAATTTATTTCATTTTAATTTATTCAAGCACTGAGGCACTTTACCTTACACCAATAATGGGAAAAAATAGTATATCCCTAGATTAAGTAATGAGTTTCAGTTTCAACAGAGAAGGTGTATCATCTAATACAACTTTCTGTATAATAGAGGGTTTAAGTGTTTTTAGTGGAAGTGTTTTATAAAAGGATAGATTTTAATGTAATCTCCAAAGGTAAAAATTCCTCCTTAACTTACATTAGGAGTGTTTTTTATTAATTTTTTTTGCCAAAGCACACTGTGCAACATCAACATTTCTAATCCTCTAACAAATTTTAGAGTGTAGATGGTAATTAACTACACTTCTAAAAAATAAAAGTTATTTAAAAAGTCACCTAACAGGCAAAGGTACACAAGATCTTTTGCTTTTTACAAGCACTTGCACAAGCAAAAGATCACAGAAATAAGATCTGGCTTTCCAAAACCCATAAAACAAGCTGCAGAACATATAAATAGAAATATCTCCTACATATTTTGGATAATAAATGCAGTAAAATATAGATTAAACTAAGAGCTGTGCTGGCAAATATTCACCCTTAAATGGCACTAATAAATATGTTCAAGTAAGAGATTGGCAAACTGTTTCTGAGAGAGAAGCATAGTAACTCTATTACTGTCCCTTTTTTCTTCAGTTAATAACTTGCTCCAAAAAAGTTTTCTTGACTAAAGTCGCAGTTGCTGTGAAATCAAGTTGCAAGTTGTTGCTCCTCTATGATACAACTGACAGATGGGAAATTTTGTGTACATGAAAGGTTCACTGTTGTGCACAACAGTGTCACAGAAAATTCCCAACTATTCTGAATGACATTAATCTGCTTCTGTTGGCAAGTACAATTCTGTGCGTTATATAAACCCAAAAGGCTTAGGTGATTTGTGAGTGGCAGATAGGTCTGGCCCTGGTTCTCCTCAGTGGTCTGCGTCTCACTCATTTATTTGTGTTTTTTTTCCCCTGATCCTATCCCAGAACATTTTGTAGAAATGCAGAGCTCCTTCTCAAATTATAGTGCCAAATTTGCTCTTGCTTTATACCCCTGTAGAGCTAAACCAGTTCCATTGCCTTCAGCTCAAATACTCCACTTGGACACCGCATGAAAGGGGAGTTTGGCTCACTAAGCATCATGGCCCTGCGCTCCCCAGAGCAGAGTAGCTCGTTATACTGCATGCACATCCTGGAGGGGAAGAAAAGCAGCTCTACTGTTTTCCATCAGAAATGACAGAAAAAGTATCAAACTAAATTTTTAAAATCCACATAGCTGATGAACTGATAAACTTAAAGTTGAAAAGTGTAGCTGGGACATTTTATTACAGTTTCTCTGTTTTTCTGTGGTATCACTCATCAAATCAGGATTTTCTTCCTTTTTGTAATCTATCAAAACAAAGCTTAATGTGTCTTCTGAACTTCTAAAATCTAAGGGTAAACACAGAGAATTTATACATTTTGCCTTTGTAGTGTCAATGGAGGCCTGTTACACTTGCAAGACTCCCTCCAAAAAATACTTTTCAGAGTGCCTACCATTACAGTCAGTTGTGTAGCCTTAAAAATGGCTTAATTTGCCTTTGTAGCTTTAGAACACCATAGCCCTTCTAGCTGCAACAGTGAACTCTCTGGCTGTATAACCTTGTAAACGTTATAGTCCAGGTGACAACGGAGTTTCTCTTTCTCTCCTGCTCTCCTTTCTCTCTCTTTCTTCTCTGTGCTCAGCCTCCATGTGGATGAAGGCACATGTGCATCACAGGCATGCTTGGTGAGGGAGGGGAGGCTGGCACATGTAGCAGGGTTACTTCATGCTTCCTATTTTCACACACTTCTGTTTGTTCCATAGAGAAACTTCCCATGGAAGCAAAGTTACCATGGTATAAGCAGGCTCAAGAGCTGGAGGAAGGAGCAGTGGTATCTGAAGAACCATCGTAAGTCTTAAAAATTTGCTTACAACAGGTTCTCATGATGTGGGAATCTGGGTCGTCTGTTGAGCTAACGGTCTCTTGAAATTGTATTTGGCTTTCAGTAGAGTGCAAAGGCTAAACCCAACCCTGTGGAAATCAGTGGGCTTAAGGCTGTGTCACACTTAAGTATGAAAAAGACAGAATTCAAAAGGGCAAATGCAGATTTAATTTGAGCAAATATGCACGTTTTATTTAGTGCCATTTACAATAATATTATAGTGAGAGTCTGTCTACCTGCATAGTGGTATGTTCCCCACTACCACTGTATCTCTGCAGCTCAACACCATTATTTATTCTCACAATACCCCTGTGAAGTAAGAGGTAAAATACAGGGTGTCTAGTCATGATTGCCCCTTGCCTCTCCCCCCCAGTGAGAGTGTATAGCAGAAAATAAAATGAATTAGCTTCATCAGAAAACAAACAAGAAACCTCAGCCCTGTGATTTGGATTGCTTTATCATCACTTATGTCATCATTTCAGGGATATTACCCTCCTTGCTTTCTTGCTTTTCTAGCCATTTCATGGTCTTTGTCCATCCACCTTTGCAAGATGGATCTCAGTCAGCAACTTGTAATCTGTTAGTAGCTCTTTCTCTTACTGGAGGCCCTCTTGGATGGTAGTTTGACCTACGTACATACATTGACAGTCTCCTCACATTAGGGCTGCCTGAAATGATGGAAACTGTACATTTTCCTCCTAAATAGGTAGATTTAACTCATTATGTCCCTTAACTGTAACTTTTTGTTTTTCTTTTCCTATTCGTCTTCTGTTTTGTGAAAAAAATATGATTGAGTTAGAAAGACGTAGAGGGCATAGAACAGGTACAGGTAATGATGAAGAAAAAAGTATTACCATAAAAAGCTGGAAAAAAACACTTCTACTTAGGGCTGATACCTGCCTTTTTAATATATCAATAAGAAAATCTGACTGTATGAACCTGACCTGGTGTAGCCAGATTCTTGACACAGTGCTATTGAAAATACAGTTTAGCAGTTTCTGCATGTGCTCCGTTTTATTAATAGCAGGACTGCAGAAGAAGTTAGAAAAATTAAGTGGTTGAAAAAAACCCTCAGAATTTCATTCAGGATGGAATTTTATTGCCATTTATGGGTAATTAATCTTCCTTAGCCCAATAAAGTTGCAATGAAAAGGAAGCTGCAGTAGAACAGCTGTACCAAATAAACCTTTAGCAATGGGGCTGAGAATTTAACCGTACTGTTAAGATTATGTTTTGGATTTTTTAATCTGAACTGTGATAAATGTATGCTATAATTGTAACCTCTGTACAAAACATTAATCAGTATTCTCTTCCTTATGGCTGAGCATGTGGCATTTTTTATTGCAACAGCAGCTGTGTATTAGGCTAAAAAATGTTCATTATGCAATATAGCTGTAGATTTGGCATGGTTAATAAGAATTGAAGTAATCTGAAAATGGAATATTGAAACAGAGTTAGAGACATACATAATAAAGCCCTCAAAATAAAAATTATTTTAATCTAGCTGTCATATGTATACATAAATACACACATACATGCATACATACATCTATAGACAAATTCACAAACACACATATTCATATGTGTGTATATATATTTGTAGCAGCTATGACCTAATATAATGAGATGCTTAACTGTTTTCAGATTTTCATAGACTTTGTAGTTTGATTCATTCAAAGTCTAGAAAATTCAATACTTGTGAATGTGCTAATTTTTAATTTGTAAAGTGCAGTTTATTTTCTTGTGACTATACTAAACCACTTAGCTAAATATGCATTTATCAATATGTAGATAACCCCTGGAAGCATATATAAAAAAAGATGTATTATCAGGAAGTTTATCAAAAGGAATCATATTGATATGTGGTCATATCTGGAACAGTTTATTACACTAAGAAATTTTTGGATGAATTTTGTGAACAATGTTTACAGTGCTGTAGAAAAAGAGTATAACATATATATATGCATATATGTAGCTTTAAATATTAACAAAAAGGGGTTTGTAGATAATGGGTATAACTTGCAGGGAAACTTGAAGACACTTTTTCTTATCATGACATGTATTTTAAAAAAATATGCTGGAAAACCTTATGAGTATATTACATGTGATATTAGAACAGATCTTGAGAGATAAAAATGGAAAGGGGTTTAAGAACTTTAGAATGTTTTAAGTGCAGCTTTGACACTTCTTTACTTTATAGATCACTGCTCTGCTGCAATAAATCTCCTGTTCTGCAAAGACATCCTAATCTTTTTACCCCATCTCATACAACACTTCAATTATAGCAGTGGAATACTAACATACCAGTACAGTGGGGCACAGTCCAGACGAGGTTCATTCTGCCTTGGGGTGACCTTTTGTACGTTTTTTTTTATCCCTGCAAAGCACAGCTCTGGGAGCATGTACAATCTTTATTTTAGGCTGATGAGAAATGACATTAAAGTATAGATTTTTATACATGTTGACTAACAGCTGAAATAAAGGGCACAAAGTCAGGATCTTTACACAAACTTTCCAAAACTCATAGATATTCATGTCTTCTGTGTAGTTTGGAATGACTTTTAGTGATAAGACATGAGACAGAAAAAACAAATAAAAACTTAGAAAACTTATGCTGAGAGGGCCATCCCTGAAATCCCTGTCTGTAAACTCTAACAGCCATCTGCATATTGTTTCAGAATATCTGATTTGTTAACAGCGACCTTGAGTGGTGAACTTCCACATAAAATTGGTTTTGGTGCCTCATTATTAATAGTGTTTTTCATTAATGTCTAACTTTAAATAGTTATCTGTTTTATGTCCTGATTATTAGACTGAAAAACTGTATATAACAACATAAAAAAGGAGACAAAACATTCAGAACTCACCAAGATACAATCAACAATCAACTTTGATGCCAGTTTTATAACACCACTTGTCCCCATTCAGCTGTGTAGAAATTTTTAATACACCAACTAGTTGAAAACCAAGTTGTATTACATGAAAATGCAGTTTTTTGCCCATGTTTTTGCAGTTATGCAGAGACACAATGTAATACTCATGGCCTACCATGCTGACAGATGTCGGGCTATCACCAATGTATTTTGGCTGATGAATGATCACTCTGGAGTGTAGGTGCATGCTGATTTGAGGGTTGGAACGGTCAAGAGTTTTAAAATGTTGGGTCAAGCACTAACTGCTCTAAGACAGTGTGTAATGTGACCAGCTATTTTGGTGACTGCGAATTTGAGTAACCAGAATATGAACATCAGTTTTTTACTGTCTTATGCCTAAGTGTGTTGTAGTGTGTTGATTTGCTGTAAATACTTCAGAAAAGATGCGAGGGGTTGTAAAAAGCAATTTCAATTGCTTGCTACCCTCCTCTGAGGAAGCCATTTCTTTCCTCTGATTCAGTAGAGCAGAGCTGGCTGAGCAATGTTTGAAGGTGGGAGTTGAGCTGGGCAGCCAGGATGGGCTTTCTTTGAGACCTCACTCCTTTGCTCAGCAAGGAGGGAATGATAGACAGAAGAGAGGCAGCGTGGAGTGGAAGGGAAGCAGTTGCAGAGCAGGAAGAACAGGTGTTGAAAAGGCAGTGTAGTGTGTTCATGAGCATGTTTGCCTGAAGTTGGAGTGATGGAAGTCTCTTCAGACAAGGTATGCTTATGTGATTTTCCTATTTGCTCAGTATTGGTGCAATAATTACTAATAATTACTAATTTCATGACTGCACTTGGACAGATGTCAATAAGGACTCATTCTTTTCCTACACTTCATCCGAGGCTCTTCCCAAGCTCTCTTATGACACCAAGTCACTGCCCCCATTCTCCTCTACAGGCAGGGTTGTTCTTTGTAGCTAGCAGACCATACTTCTACTGTCACCCTTTCTTAATTATTCTTCAGTCAGAGAAAGCAAACCCCATCTGTAAGCAAATCTATTGTTCATCTCAAAGTTTATTTTTGATTGGAAGTTTAAAAGCTAAAGCTGAAAATTTTCAGCAGATTTCTTCTATGCATTGAGTTCTCATATTTGTGAATCTCTGTATTGCTTCTTTTTGACTTTTGTGACTTTCTATTGAATAGAATTTTTGTTATGGAATTGTATGCTATGAGTCATAAAGTTACACATCTTTTTTACATTGTCCTTCCACCTGTAATTTGTGGTCATTCTCTAATGTGTGCTGCTATAGCAGCAGATGCCTCATTTTTCAATTCCGTTTGTGTGTAGTGCCTTCTATTTATTTCTTCAGGTATTTCTAAAGGAAGCAAGTCTTACAGTTTAATTTTGTCTGTACATGTCTATCTGTCAGTTGCCTTCCTCTTCTCTCAGTAATGTCTGAATTTATTCCTACTAACTGAATTTGACAGAAGTATAAAGTTATCACAGAGAATTTTACCCCTCTGTCTAATTTGGTTGATACTCACCAGGAAATTCAGTAGTAGTATTTTCCACGTGTTCCACTGAACTAAATGACTTGATAGAAAAATGATACCCTATCATTTCCCAGCTGAAGGAAGGGTTTCTAAAGTAGTTTGGTCCTTAAGAGATAGCAGAGAAACCACTTGGGCACTCAGCCTTCAAATATAAATCCATGTAAAATTAGACTTAATCAGTTCTCCTGCTCAAAGAATTAATCATGAACAGTTTAGCCACTTGAAGGCTAGAGGGAATAGTTATGTTTGTGTTCTCTGACCTGCTGCACCCCTAAATGGGATCAGTTAAATATTAATTGCTGACAGAACTACTATGGAATACTCTAGGTTAGTAGAAGAGTATTGTACTCTTTGTTAGGACAAAAGTTTACAGTAAGAAATCCTTGCTTTTCTGTGTTGTCATACATATTGTTCTCTTATTGCTGTCCATCTCTGAAGTGACCATTCACCAGGCCTTAGAAATATGTTATCTGAGGGAGAAGCCACAGTATCCTTCTGTCTCGCCTCTTTCATTAGAGCTTGTTACAGCAGCACAGCACGACAGCCAGAGTCAGAA